TCACCTGCAGACCGCCCAGCTTGCCAGCCCCTCCGCTCCATCGGGAGCTGCTGCCACCGCCATTCTCAGGATCGTTCTGGTGCAGGGGGCTGAACCAATTGTCCCTAATCTACTAGGCTTTACTGGCCAAACAAATGCAGCTGAATCATCGGCATCCTGTTCCCACTGAGAGGCATCTTTTGTGAGAGGGGATTTAGAGCGTTGCCAGTAAATCCAGCAAGTTTCCTGAGTTGGGGTTTCCAGAGCAGCACCTGGCACAGCTTGCCATCGAGGTGCTCCAGGCACTCGTGGACGGCCGCTTTGTGCGCCGTCAGCTCGGCCAGCAAGGCATTTGTGCTCAGCGAGCTCGCGGCTGCCCAGCTGAGTTCTTCTCCATGGGGAGTAGTTTCCCAGCCCCCCACCCCAGGCCCCCAGGTAAGCTTTCTGCACCTGGCGCCCAGCCACGAGGCAAGGGCCCGCCATCCACCCCAGCAGCCGAGTGGAAAAACCGCGGCTACCCTAACATGAGCATGCCCAAACCTTACCTTCCACTGGCTGGGCGGGCGATGAGGAACCGCGTGCGACTCTCTCTGGCTCTGCGAGGCCAGGTGGCTGCCAGAGTCCAGACTGAGGATCCGAATCCAATGCGGGTGGCGGCGGCAACAATGCCCGGCCCACCATGCCAGCACCAGAGCAAGTGAGGGGTCTGCTGGGAACTGGGGGTGTGCCCTTAGGAAGCTGCTGGGGCGGGCACCCACACTCCTCCAGCCGGTGGAGAGACAGAGACCTGACCTGTGGGGCTGCGCTGGAGGCAGCTGGAGGGGGAAATCAACTTGCTCAGTGCACGCCACGCACAAGAGGGAAGGGAACTGATGCTCTAGCCCTCGTCTCTATGGCTTTCATAGCCATAGAGCCTTGGAGGACTTAAATTCTAGAGCGTCACTTTTCTGGCCGCCATTCCCCCCCCTGGGGCCCAATTTTAAAAAAAGCAGGGAAGGGGGTTCTAAAGTGGGGGTTCCCCCTCCCGCAGCAGGGGCTTGGCAAACCTACCCACCACTCAGGCTCCATTGGACTGTTTTGGATTGCTAGCTACTGTGAGGGGAACGTGCAGATCTGTCCTCACAGAGGAGGGAGAGCTTGTACCTGAATAAAACTTGGTCTTAAAGGTGCCACTGGACTGTTTTGGATTGCTAGCTACTGTGAGGGGAACGTGCAGATCTGTCCTCACAGAGGAGGGAGAGCTTATACCTGAAGGCGGGCCGGGGGGGGGGCTCTGCAACTTACCTGGCTGCTTCTTGCTCCTCATGGCCCAACTGAGGGCTGCTGGGAGCGGGGGGTGGGGCTTGTTGCATGTGCCCACCAATGTTCCCTCTAAGCTGTGGAGTCTTGTGAGCAAAAATTCTACTTTGTGAGCTCCTGGCATTAAAGTGGTGTTGTTCAGGGGCCTGTAGAATTGGACCCCTTGGTCCAATTCACTGGAAACTTGGGGAGTCTTATGTGGATAGGCAGCACTAGTTCCCATGCAGATTTGGTATCATTTGTTTTTTTAAAAGCCACTCCACCCCTCTCCCTCCAGCTTTATAGGGAACAATGGAATCTGAATAATTCTAGAATCTTGGAAAAACCCAAACCTGAATCCTGAAAGAGTACCAAGGGACCCAAATACTACTATCTATGCCTTTCTTATATTAAAAAAAACCCTACAAACCCATTTTGGGGGTGTATCTCCATACATTGCTGATGCCCAGCTGCTCTTGACTGAAAAGCAACTATGGTCAGCTAGCAGGAATTCTTCACAATAGTCTCTGAGTCCTTGTAAAACAGCATACACAATCTAGCTAAACAGTAAGATCCTGATTCTCTGCTAAGGAACACTACTAGTATTAACTGTGCCCACATTTTACTAATCTGGATTTAACCATTTAGTCTCTTCTGTGGGAAGTGCCAAGCTAACTCTTCCTTTAATCTACTGCAAGAAATGAGAGATGTGACAAATTTCTCTGTGACCATGTTTAATAGACCAACATACCTTCTTTGACATGTATTTAGTTATTTTATTAGATTTATTATACTCCACCCTCCCCTGTGAGCCAAATGGTAAGACCTTTTTTTGGGGTGGAAAGCTTATTTATAATCACTAGCTGACTGATTGATTTACCAACTGTTTAGTTATATAATTCATTGGTGGTGGTGTGCAGCTACAACACATCTGTCAGGGAGGGGGGAGGGGGAAAGTAGGACTGGCACTGGGCTCTGTGCAAATGCACAAGTGTGAAACACTGCTGACGGCTTGGTACTGTGATGTACTGTTTGAATAGCTGAAAAGTAACCTGGCATACAGGCTCAGACTCCTCACAAGAAGAGAACTGGTCGATGGACAGTCAGCTCCCGGTTTGTTCCTGGCAAGCAGATGATGGATGGAACTGCTAGGCATCTCTACATGCAATCTTCCAGATTTTTAAAAAATGTCCATAGTATTGTTCTTGTTTAAATCAAAAGACAGCAAACCTCAGAGCAGACAAAGAGTCATTGCACAGCTCCAGAAGCAGCAGCAGCAGTTTACGTTGCTGTTCTTTTATCTTAAGAGGGATATTTATTTCTTGGCAAAGGGAGGATAGGCAAGGGAGGACATGATCTCATAGCATGGGGGAACATGTTGAGTGTACAGAATGCACAGTAGAACCCACTGACACTGGCACTGCAAGCTGTGATTGTTGGCAATGTGTGTGTGTGCACAAATGCACACCAGTGCAAAGTCAGGTGCAACTCCGTCATGCCTTGCACAGGGCTGCAATTTGTATGGGGGAGAAGTCCTCTGGCAGAAGCTCTGGAGAGCTTTTTTTAGTCCTGTGCCACTCAACTGAAAAAAGATTGCGGGTATTTTCGCCAATGCCCCAGTGCAGCAGCTTAGTAACACTAATTTCCTGTCCTTCCTTGCAAATTTACATGGTTTTCTCTTTCTGATTCTCTAATTTGATCCTGCACATTGGTTGTGATCTTGTCAGTTTTTTTAAGCTTGTCCTGTGCGGTTTGCACTCTTCAATTCTTAAGTTTGGCGGTTTGCAGAAGGTCCTTTTGGTCACGTAGCGCTGAAATCCTTTTTTTTTTTTTGCACTAGGGACGCTGCCATTTGCCTCCTCTCCAATCCCCCTTTCAAATCAATACCAGCAGGGAACTAAACCTGGTGCAGCTCAGGCCCGTAGCTACCGTGGGGCCCAGCCCCCTAGCAGTTTTTATGACCCCCCTCTTGGTTCCCCCCCCCTCGGGCCCCTTCCCCTGATTACACTCCTGGTGGGCAGACTGAGGGCAGGTGGCAGGCTCTCCTCTGGAGCACGCGCTATCCCTTCCCGTCCTAAGGAACCTCCGAGCCTCCCACAGTGAACTTTGTGCTGGCGCTCCCGTTAGCTGCTGCTGCCGCCCAGGGAAAGGCCTGTGCAAGGCCAGTCCCTGAGCGGCTAGGCTGGATTGGTGCTGCTGGTGTGGCTCCGCCTCTGGAGGGGGCAGGTGATGACCAAGGCACCCAGAAGGCTCCTGCTGCTGCCTTATCCACTGCCCACAAAAGATCGGTTCTCTTTCCCCCGACAAGGACTAAGGCTATAGCAGGATCTATCCCGGCCGGCCCTGCCTCTTGCCCTGGAGCGGGATAAGTGGCGCCCACTTGTCACCACCATTGTCGGGTGTGTGTGTGTGTTCCTTTACTTATTATTGTCACTTTAAGCAGTCCATCGTATGTGCAGGTGCCTTCTTTTTCCCACCCCCCTTGCCATGCAGCAGAGGGGCCGGCTGAGTCTCTTGAGTGGGACAAATGCAGGCGCTGTGCTGGGGTGTGTGTGTGCTGCTGTGCCCCACGACCTTTCAATACACAAAGGAGTCTCGAGCGGCTTACCATCTCTTTTCCCTTCCCCAGCAGGCCAGCTGCCAAGGAAGGAGGTAGCGTGGTGGCGGGTGCCAGCAGGCAGGGACAGCCACAGGGCTCCTTGAGAGTAAGAGGAACAAAACCACTAGCTTGCCTTGCCCCCACACGAGGTGCAGAGAATGGCCCGCACTGGGTTTTCCTTTCCACTCTTCTTACTCCTCAAGAGTAAGAGGAGTGACATGGTAAACCTGGCGTAACCCCCCCATATGCCTGCGTCACTTCTGGAACTGACATAAGTACCTCAAGGCTAGGGGGGCCCCCATCAAAAATGTCCTAGCTACGGGACTGGTGCAACTCCTTTTAAACTTTCCCCATTGTTTTAATTTTTTATTCAGCAATCCAAGACTAGTGATAATCTCATATCACTATACTCATGCCGCTTGTCAAAAAAAATTAAATTTAAAAACAAGGGGGAAATGGAGCTTGTACACTGATGAAGGGGGGAGGATGGGGGCAGGTGCAGAGTGGGCAGAACAACCTCTATGTGGGTGGGGAGTGACCTTTGAGGGGCAGCAAAAGGGCGGGGGGAAATCTGAGGGAATCTGTGTGCTTTTGAATTACCTTCGGCTTGGAAGCGAAACAAGGGGAAAACAGGCACAAAAGCACACTCAGAAAACCCAGAGAAACAGCGACCAGAAAGCCAACTGAGCATTGAGGGGAGGAAAATCAATGCACAATGACAAAGAAAACCTGACAGACCTGCACAGTGAAAGCAAGGGAAAACACCTGTGCATAATAAGCCAGTTTGTTAAAAGAGATGCCAAACATTTTACAATCTGTGCTATCCTTTTCACCCTCCATCATGTCCAGAGGCATTACTCTCTTCCAGTGATGCCTATTAAGAATCGAAAATTGGCACCATGCTCACATTATACATTGGGGTTAAAATATTCTAGTGCAGCAGGGAGACAAAAAGTCACACACTGAGAACGACACACATGAATTCCCCTTCCACAGAAATTTTATACAACTATTGAAGGAGCTGCATATATGTCTGACTAAATACAAGTATCAGGACTAGTATACTAAAACACCCATGATGTTCATTGTAACAGAAGCCTTTATGCATATTTCACATTTAACTTTTTAAAGAGGTCATGCTTACATTATCGTTGCTTCCCTTGTTGTCTTCATATTTTGTCTCTATGTGAATGGAGAATTTGGGTAAAAATGAACACTGCAAAGAAAAAAAACTTATCAGAACAGCACAAAACTTGAACTGTATCATCAGTTCATCTAGCCATCATTACTATAATAATAAAATTGGTAGCTCATGACAATCAAAACAGCAGCAGCACCCCAAAACAACACAGGTTTTTCTACCTTCTCATAGGATTCCTCACTTATGAAGAAAAACATGATTGTGTAAATTAACTGGGGGGGGAAGGAATTCAACCCTCCCTACCCACTCTGATGAGGACTGAGCATCCTCCAGGAAGTACGGAATGTTGGGAGCAGTTGAGCACCTCTTAACAAAGAAACTGGCCTCTTCTCAAGCCCTTAAGAACTCTAGAATCCAAGAGCAGGGAGATCTAGGTGTGGAGGAAATTTCTCAAACGTCCCCACTGCAGTTCCTTGTGAGCTCCAGGTTGTTCCCTCTAATTTCAAAGTTCATGGCTGAGTGCTTGTGAACAGGGCTGAAATGGGGCCATTGATAGACAATGTAACAGTGTCTGCATCTCATGGACAGAAAAATATATTTTTGTATTTTTTTTTAAAAAAAGAGTCCCTTCTCACAGTTTAAGGAGGACGGGGCATGGAATACTGAAGGCAGTTGAGCATCAGTTGAAGAAAAGGGAAAGGAGGGGAAATGGGGAACCTGGATTGCTCAACTTCTTATTGAATCCTGGAGGGAGAGATTTGGGTTAGGGCAAGGGAAATTTCCCAGTCATCCCCTCCCCCATTATTTCTTGAAGGTCCTCAACTGACTCAGTCTACTGGCATTATAATGTATCAGAAAATGTACTATTGATTAGGTTTAATGGGAATCAGGTCCATATTAAATGAAACAACAGAGGGAAAATAGACCTAAACAGCTGTGGTACAATGGGATGAATGGCAATAACTAACTAGGGGAGCAATAATCCTTTTCTGTTTGGCTAGACTGGCAGCTTCAACCTACTGTCCAGTCTCTTCTGTCAAACCTAACCCCCAGTTCTGGTGACTGAGAATAAATGGAATTCAGCTAGGGATGACACTTAGACTTCAAGTTCTGATTTCTGAACTTTTCCTCGAATGCAATGGTACACAGTAAGGGCAAGGAGTTGTGTCCTTTCACTTCCCAAGTGAACTTGTCTGTTTCCCTCAGATCAACACACACACTCCTGCCAGACACATACACCTGCCAAGCCAAAGTCCAAATGATGACTGACTCCCCCTGAAAAGACTGAGAAGACTTTTAAAAACTCTCCTCAGCTGGATTGGGCAATCAGAGAGCGCGGGGGGGGGGGGGTACAAACTGGAAGCAGCCTGTCAAACTGTGCTTTACAGTGAGGCATTAACCCCTAATCTCATAGCTCTCTGAATTTGATGCACTATGCAACCTGGTTTTGGAGCTCAGTTCGTCACAAAGCTTCCGGGCTTCAGAAACCTTAAATCAAGTCCACATTGCATGATACTTGAATGAATAAGCCTAGGCAAATTGAAGTTTGCTTCTCCTTCTGCTCCCAAACTGGGATTCTAACTGGGAGTGAAAATAAACGGTGTTTATATCCATTACACCTCTGTTTATTGTGACATCTGAATGCAGCCAATATGCTTTTAAATTCTTGCACTTTGTAACTGGCACTGTCCTCTGGAAAAACTAGGATACTTCACATATCACTTGCAGTCAAGCTACATATTATGGCTCTCCTGTCATCTTTTTAAACTGAATTGTAGCTGCACATGATTTAACCCTTCTACTCCTGCATTGTTTTTCTAATCACGGGCTTTTCCACATAGGTTTTTGTCTGGAATTAGGGTCTGGATTGAGCCTCAATCCCCTGCTAAACCTGATACTTTAATTTTTACAGTAAATTAGCCTCTGTGGTTGAATATTTGGTTCTGTTTCCCAGGAGGCTACAGGACTCCGCTGGTGCTGTGGCCTTCTGGTACTGATAACTCTGTATATGACTTAGAGGATGTTTATACATTCCAGAAGTTAGTGGTGTCAGTATCAGAATCAAAATGGATGGTGTATCTGAAACTAGCTTCCTTGACTCTCTCTTCCTGTGAGCTTCCTGACCCCAGAAATAGAGAGAAGGGGGAGGGATCATGGGTGGGTACATCAGGGCAGTTCTAGTCAGTTCTAGTTTGGCCTGTGTCACATCCATGATAGTCCTATGTGATAGGTATGTCAGTAGCTAGAGGTCCAAGAAAGATATATACTTCTGGTTTACTAATGGTAGGGGCTGGTCATCAACAAGCTCCATGTGAGACCTTGGTGGCTAGTCCAGAATGTTCTGAGTTTTATACAAGTGCACTATTTTATGTATTGGGTTTGTGCTGGAATATTCTATGTTGAATATTGAAATGCGACAAAGTGTTTTCTGTCTTAGGAGCTTTGTTTAAGAAACATTGTCTTTCTCTATACCAGATTCAGTCCCTTGCCAGTCCCCACCCAACCAGTGAAAGAACTCATGGGAACTGGGGGGGGGTGTCCCAGGAAAAGCCCCCCCCAATCCCTCAACAGTTTTTTCAGCTGCTCTGGTTGCATACTGCTTCAATTTATCTCCTGATTTCCGCATACATTTTGTTGCCTTTAGATTTTGATTCTTGTGTGTGTGTGTTGTGTTTCATCCCCCCCCCCTTTTGAGACTACTTTTACCCTGATTTTTTTTGGAAGCCAGTTTTAAGTTGGATTTTTCCTGGTGCATAATGTTTCTGTCGGTTTCCTTTGTCCTGCCTACTCCTACCCATCTCCAGCCCACTTCTTCAATTATTGGACTGTTGTCGTCATCAAACCACTCCCTCTCCTCTCCCCACTCTGAAAATGAGTGGGGAGGGGTTTTATTTTTTTAGAGACACTAAAACATCGATATATCAACATAGTGTTGTAATGATAATTAAAGCAGGTTCTCTGAATTCCCAGCTTTCAAAAAAAAATCTAGCCCCTTCTCTTGCAGAGATTTAAGGAAAAAGGCACATCTCAGTGAGGTAAGGAAAGACTTACTTTTTTTTAAAAAAAAATCAAAGTTGGGAATTCAGAAAACCTGCTTAAATGATCATTGCAACAATATATTGCTAGATCAATATTTTAGTGCCTTTTTAAAAATGCAGCCATGATACTGATATATCAATGTAAGTATGCACAAAAAATAAAAAGGGGTTGCTATGATGCCACTGATAATGACATCCCTTATTTAAGGCACATGCGGAAGAAAATAATTTGACTCCACAACTGTGAAAATGTAAAGGGTAGAGGGATGCATGGAAGAACTGTGCCCAAACCAATTCCAGTACTTGCAGATCAACTGCCAAGAAAATCAGGAGTCAGTCGAGCTAAAACATGTGGTTGTTGGCTCTTTTTAAAACAACAAACAGCTGTCTGTATTTCTTTAAACAGCATGGAAGGGTTAATTGAGAAACCATGTAGAGAAACCTCTCCTCTCCCCGTGTGGCCCAGGAATGGTAGTAATTTGCTGGTAAAGACACTTACAAAATCTAGTCATGGATCTCTCAAATCTTTGGGTTTTTTTGACCAGCACAAGTGCTGGGTTATTCATCACAAAGTACAGCTTTCTTAAGTGAAAGCACATTCATATATGCAAGAATTAAAATCAGATGCAAGGCATAAATGAAGGAAATTATGTTTGTAAGTATACTGCTTTTTAAAACATCACTGTTTCCTGCCTTACCTCTCCTAATGATATATTCCAGCACAAATCTGGTATTTTATCAATACGTATGATATACATGGGAATAGAAAGAATTAGCTTTTTAATTTTTCATGTTAACATCTCTAGGCATTGCCAGGAGCTTTGAAAAGTTTGTAACATTATCCAATAAATGCGTGCAGGAAGCAGATATCCTTTTAACTATAAAATAAGTTTCCTGTCTTTTAAACCTTCTAGAAAATTAGATACAACAGTTCAATGCTAACAATTTCATCCAAAGCAAGACTTTGTATCCTTCCTGCCCCTCCCATTTTGAACTTATTGTATCCTTTCTGCCCCCTCCATGAACTTCATGGCTTCCTAACACAGCAGTCAACCGTTTCAAAGATGATCATGCAGAGATTTTCATGCAGAGCTGTATGAAATCTGTTGCTTTGTATGAAGATCTCCGGATTGGGTACTTAGTCAATCAACATCAACATTAAAAGAAGCCAAAGTTGCACACGCCTCTTATTTTTCAGCTTCTCTCCCATGGTTGATATGCACGTGGGAAAGAGGTAGGGTTCCCAAGTACTTACCGTGATCCGGTGGGGGAAACATGCTCCCCGGTCGGACCATTCCTCCCTGTAACACACCATGCCGTCGCCAGGAAGTGACGCTGGGCAACGCTCTGGCAATGGGACTGAAAACTCAATGGTACCAGGAATGATCCTGCGAGGACGTCTGTGTCCCCCGCTGAATCACGGTAAGTATTTGGGAAGCCTGAAAAGAGGTGATTCTAAATGCATATGAATCATGTTTCTAAACTATTTAAAGGAAGGTTGCTTTACATTTGTGTTCCAGCCTGTCATGACTCCAGTGGGGTCTTTGGTTTTCAGTGCCACCACCCTGGACTTTCGGGTCCCTCGGGAGTCCCAGGGTGTCTCCCAAGCCCTTGTTGACCGAGCAATACGGGCGTGAATGACCCAGGCAGACACCAAAATAAATTAAACAGAACAGGGTTTATTAGGAGAATGATTGGGCAAGGTGCTTCAACCAGGTAACAGGGGGAAAAGCCAACAGAAAATAAACTGAACGCAGCTGCCTTACCTGACTTTGTTTCCACTACCAGGCCCTCCCCTGACCCACTCACTCAGGATTTTCCTCCTCTCCCAGCCCGGCTAGTTCCTCACTGGATCCAGCCGCAGGGAGGCAAAGGACGGAGGGCTTCTTCCCCTTTTCCCTCAGAGAGTCTCCAGCAACCATTCATCATCAGCCAGCAGCTGCCTTAACTGTCTCTCCCAGACTTCACTCCCCAACAGACTCTAACGGTCTCTTTTTAGAATCTTCCCCTCGGCCCAAGCCTCCCAAGGCCCCCTGG